ATGAGTAATGCCTTTTTCAAGGGGAGAAAATAGTTAAAACATTACAGGAATTTTTGTGCCTTTTTTCCTTAGTTAGTATTGGGAAATGTTTGCAATAAAGTTTGCTTTTTGAAACTTTCACATTTTGTAGTGAGTTTTGATTTACATATGAAGTCATCATCTGACAATTTGAAACAAATGTCTTTTTAAAGCATACCAGTTTTTTGTATGTATTTCTATCACTCCAAAAAAGTTTTAACAGATTTATCTTGCTTTCTGCCATTCAAAACAGTGGAAAGTTGTCATTTCAATGGCATTTTTTAATATCTTGAATATTTTAATAATTGGATTTAATCATTTAGTAATTGCCACCTTGATCATAGATTTCGTCAGTACAACCATAACCCACAAATCCATCCACCATTTTTTCCAAAGAAAAACAATAAAAAAATAAGTAACAAAAAAAAACATTTAAAATACAACACAATAACAAAAACAGTAAGCCAGAGTTTGTACTATCAATAACACTAACACATAAAATAGAAAAAGAAAGCATGAAGTAACACAATTTTCAGATATAATTTTTATACTTCTTCTCAGACACAGTAAGATCTGAAGCAGATTCTAATTCCTATAAGCATTCTTCAAACCTACACTGACCCTGTACTTAGTTCCAGGAGGACTCAAAATTCCTATCACTTATTCCCATGATAGATGTCCATTTTATATTGAATATGTAACATCTTAAAAGTATTCTAGTGATTTCATTTGGCTTGTAAAGATCTTGGATTTTTTAAAACCTACATAATGTTTCAGTGATGAAATTTTGTACTTACGAGTATTAAATTATACCAAAAAGCCATTTACTTGATATTCTTTAAATACCATAGCACAATTCAACTAAAGCTCAGATTGTAAACCATCTTAAATAACACTAATGCAGTGTGCACGTAATGAACAATATAGCCAACTTAAGTTAATTTTCATGTAACAGATAACATCTGGGGGAAATGTATATTGGTAAGTTATGCAAAACTAATTTTCTAGCGACCACATCTGTAGAAGTTATTTATTGTATGTTCACTTAACAGTCCATTATTCTGTTTAGAAATCTATTCTCTTCTTTATTAGAGCTTTTAATGTACTCACCTTGGTTCAAATGGTCTGCTCATTATCAGAAAAAATATAAATGGCATTCACATGGAACAACATGATTGTTTTTATTATATCCATTTGTGTGCAAGCATTCAAAAATGGCAAGAGAAACACATTTATTGCTTTACATTCAAAGTAATATTTAGGGGGTATTTGAAAGTCAAGCAAAACCAATCATTTGGCCAAATGGATGTATGTGTATAATCAGAAACTCCTGATTTTTAATCTCAGCATTAGGCCTCAGGCAAGTCACTTAAAGTCTTTTCCTTTGTTTCCTGATCTAAAGATTATGGGTGCTATTCTCTTAGAGAAGAAGAAAGGGTACTTGCTAAATCAGGGTACGAAATAGGAGTATTTTTTTAATAAACATACTTGATCCTTTTTCTGTTTTTATTTTCCTAGGTTTAAGAGGTAACATATTAGACTTTTGAGGAAAAAAATATGAGACAATTACAATGCTACAGGAATGTATAAAAATAGTTATAAAACTAGCTTTATTTAATTTGCCTCAACTATTCATAGACTTGAGGAAATTATAACGTTCTTTCAGAAAATCTAACTTAATAAAGCTGACCATGTCTTTCTGTTTTAAATAGATTTTATTACAGAACCAGTGATGTTGTAAAACATGAGGTTTTGTTAAAAAAAAATACAAAGGCCTAATTGTATTTTTTCAAGAAAGTATTGCATCAGACGGTTTCATTTAAACATATTTGCTGGCTCTGTGCTCTCACCACAATTATTGATTCTAATTTTCCTTAAACTTGTTTTTTAAAAAGATTACTTAATGGGGGGAAAATTCACTATGATGCTTCTGGTGCTAGGTTTATTTCAAACTATATATTTGACAGTATGCCTTCTTATTATTAATGAGACGACTTTATATTTACCCCCCTCTGAAATTGGGACATTTCTTTCCTTCGTAGTATCTTAGTAACAAAGCCAAATGTAACTCTCTGTGAAAAAGAAAAATGTAGCTATGATCTGGTTCACTGATAGTATGCAAAACACTCTGAAGAAATTCTCACCCCCAGTTTTTGTGCAGGAATTAAATCAAATGAATACCTGTATGAGCTATGAGCTATATTCATAAAAATCAAGCAAAAGAGATTCTTGGGATAAACAGGAGTTTCACTCCACCAAAAAAATAATAATAATAATAACGTGGGGCTGGGAGTAGTCCAAGTTCCCGAGTATGTGCCCAGTACACACATACACATACATACACACACACCCAATGCCAAAGACCAGGAAAACTGGATAGTTGGCAAGTAGTTCAGATGAGCCTTGTAAAGAAATGTGGACCACAGAGGTGTGAGGGACAAAACTTGCACACAAATATCTGCTTGCACTCACGTGTATGATCCGATGGAAGAAAGGGCACAAGTGGAGGCGGGGGGAATTGACTACCACCAGGCCGCAGAGGCCATCTGCTGAGAACTTCCACCAAGGGCTCAGAAACAATTTGCAGAAAGAGCCTGTGTGCAGAAAAGCAGAGCTGCAAGACAAATTTGGCAAGAGCAACAAAATAAAATTCTGCTTCATTAAAAGAAATATTTTACCTTGAAGTTTTGCTCATGCTTTCTTTCTCTGGGTCTACAGTAAACGCAGTAAACCCTATTGGGTTCTTTTCTCTCTGCTTTCCAATGGCTAACTCACCGCCACTTCCCCCAAATTCCTATTCCTCACCCTCTGTGAAAGTCTATACCACTCAGTATATGCCTCATCATCTGCCCTCGTCTCTAGATTCTCACGTGCAGCTTATTTATTTTACTGATAATGTTGCAAAGGACACTAAATTATATTTAGCTGTTTCATTTTCCTAGCTTGGTAAAATAAAGAGCAATATAAGTTGTGGGAGGATGAAAAACAAGCATGATGAAAAAAGGTACATATAATTTTGTGGGAAGAAGAAAATGTTTGTATGTCCCATTTAGGGGAAAAAATGACTTATGAATATGATGACAGAAAAGAATTGTTCTTATATATATATATTTTAGATTCTATTTTGATTAACATTTAGTCAACTTAAGAAGAATAATCTGGAATGATGTCACCTAACAGAATAGAGATTAAGTGATTAATAATAATCAATAATTTCCAAGTATGGCAACATGATGACATGGATATTGAAAACTGCACAGGACGAGAAGTTGGCACAGCAGGGTTTAACTCCCAGCCCGGGCACTAAGTGATGATTTGACCTTAAGCCAACCATTTAATCGCTTGGTTTCCAAATTGCCTTTACTACAGAGTTCTAAAACTTCAGTTCTTCTCTATATTTATACTAAGCAGCAGCTTCCTATAAAATCGAATTAAAGTTAACAATATGAATTCAATGCAAATACACTGGGACAACCAAGCAATAGCTTGAGCTTTCAAGACATTCCCAAACCTATCTAAATAAAAAAACATTATTAGTATTCAAACGATGAAACATTACAACCTATAAGTTGTAATGATCACATGTTTAACAGGTAAGTTAACTTGAAATATTGTGGAGAAGTTAGAAGGGAATGGATGATGATTTCAGGTTTTTCCAAGTCCTGTAGGATGGTAATTAACTGGTGATTTTATGCATTTCCAGAGTTTTGTCTTTAAACATATATGTTCAGGGTCTGTCTTTGTCAGCACATGGTGGGTGGCTTCACCTCTGGGCCTCAAAAGAAAGCTCACTGTATAAATGAGAACATCAATATACCGATGTACAGTGAGGAATGTAATAGGCGTGAAGATCAAAGCACTGAACTGGGTACGTCTTTATAGATCAATGGAGATGGGAAGTCAAATTATGATCAAGATGTTGCTTGTTAAACACAGAATCAGAACAAAAGGAACTAATTAAGTGATTCAGATGTTTGCCTTAATCAGTACCCTCCTCTCTTTCTCACCTTCAAGTCACGGTGGGATGGACACTGCTTAAGTTGACTTCTTTGACTCCTGTTTCTTCATTTCCAGTGTTGACCAACCATCACCCTCCCTCAGATTTGCACACTTGCTACAAAATTCTGAAGTGCTCACAGTGAGGTCTTGCCTCACCCTCTGTATTTTTGGTTGGCTTTACAGATCTCCTCTCTGATTCATAGTGCACTGGCTTTATGCATTAACCTTCAGAGTCTTTATTGTCCTCATCACCAAGTTCTTGGTGGCCACTTTTCCATTGCCCCCAAGAATGGCCACACTCTGCTGAGTAACACTGATCACGGTTAGGCTGTTGGTGAATGTTTTAAGCACACAAACCCTGCCCGAACTGGAGAAGGTATACAGAGGATCTAAAGCACGGTCTCTACCTACAGAGAGCTTGTAGGCAACAGGAAGGGAACACTGACACATAAAACAATTAAAGATCAAGACAGTATAAAATGAAGTCCTTTATACACAAACAATGAATCATGGAACACCACATCAAAAACTAATGATGTAATGTATGGTGATTAACATAACAATAAAAATTTTTAAAAAATGAAGTCCTAAGCCACATAGTATAGAAAAAGAATAAGACAGTGGGAAGAATAAAATGCTAATTATCAGTTACAGAGATACAGAGAGCAAAAAGCAATAGAGAACCTAAGAGGGCAGTGGTGTCAAGAATTTAGAGGAAATAGCACTTAGAATATAATAGACTTGGCACTATATATATGCATATGCACACTTATATAAAAATTATATGCACATTAATTATACATAATTATATATTATCATATAATTTGAATTAATTTAATTGATAATAGGTTGTATGATATATGTTATATAATATGTGCTGTGTATTATATACTATATATTCATTACAATATAGAGAGGGAAATGAATGAATTGGCCGAAATTGTGGTTAGTCACCATGATACAGCTCTTTTCTTCCCCTCCAGCAAGTGTTAGAGGTTGTCAAGTCTTCAGGTGGTCTCTTCCCGGATCCTCTAGAAGAAGGAATCTCATTTGATACTTATTCAACATTCATAGAGCCACCCCCAACACTGGATACAGAAATGAAGGTAGGTTTCTTTCTGTCTCTTAATTCACCTTGTCTCAGCATTTTATTCTCTATGGGCAGGAGGGAAAAAACTAAATGCTCTTCCATTTTCTTACCCTCTGATTTTTTCCAGCTCAATATAAATATTTCTTTTAGGGTTGACTCGCTGGTGGGCCAGCTGAGGGTGGCTCAGCAATTTCAATCTCTCCACTTCCACTCTCCTCAAAGTAAGCACTGATTAGCAGCGCCATGGCTTCATCTGTCCTGATGCTCATGAATAACAGAAATGCAAGATAACATCCAATCAAAACCTTCTTTCAGATCAACATCATTCCTTGTAGAAAAGTACCCAGGGGAAGTTTTAGGCTACCTATAAATCACTGAACATTCCAGAAGTCACTTGAGTGTTCTTTATTTTTAATATTCCAGGGATTGGATCAAGAACAAGGCCCTGATGAAGCCCAGTCAGAAGCCAACACTTCCGATGTGGATCCTTTAGTGGGTTTCACCATCAAAGATATAAAAGCAGTTCTGGATCAAGTCACAGATGATATTTTAATCGGCATTCAGGTAGTCAGCCTTGATAGCATGCTCACTTACTTTATTATTACTGGTTAATTAGCCAACCTGAGCCTTAATGTCTATAAACGCTACCCACACTCTGCCAGCAAGAGTGATGCTTATGATGGAGGACTTCAATTTCACATCTCCCCGTAATTCACAGTTGAGTCATCTAAGACTCAGTAAGATCACAAAACAGGTTCCCCAACAGCACCTAGAGTGGGGTGTGTTGCCAGTTTCCACAATCATCCATCATCAAAACCCAAAATGTGAAACGGTAAAAACTGCGTGCCCATCATACCCATCATACTGTAAACATGGCTCATGCAAGAGTAAATGGAGTACCTTTCTAACAGCAAACACGGAAGATCAACCATAATTCTTAGGTAAGTCTCCTCACCAAATTTCTAAAGAGAGGCTTTCAAATCTTTGAACTCCCTCTCAGAGAGTTTGTTCCTTTTTACATACTTAATAGCTAAGCAATGTACACCAAAGGCTGCATGGAAATGGTGATGGGACAGCCATCCCGGGCAACTGCCACTCATGGATCAGTCAGATTAACTTTATGTCTAACCTTTTTTTCCTGTCAAAACAAAACAAAACAAAAACCCATCTCTACCTCAACACAAAGACTTGCATCATTTTTTTCAGGCAAAATGGTTAAGTAAGTGAATTGCCTATTTTAAGAAGATTTACGATTTTTTATAGAAATGACCATGAATCAATAGAACAACATACTACCTGTCTAAAATATTAATGCATCTCAGGGAAAGATTTAATTGTTATCTGAACATGAGATGATATATAAAAAGCACACTATATTAAAAACTAATTTAGAAAGAGCAAAAGATTAGCTTGGCGTAAGCATACCTTGTTACTTGTCTAATCATCAAACTTTAATGCATTATTTACATGAACATTTAATGATTTGATACCAACAGAATCAGCCAAAGTCCTCAGCTTAATAAGGGGTGTTTAGTGTTTACCAGAAATAGTGGTAGAACACGTTTTACACAAAGCTTTATTGTTAACAATGCCATGAATGTAATAACTGGTTACTGTGTGGAAGGGCAGAGTGCAGTTGAATTAAACTGAGTTCAGAACATATCTCCTTTTTAGATTTGATAACATTTCATCTAAATATAGTTTATGTATAATCATGGCCCTGGGCTCCTTTGCCAACCTGCAGCTCTGAAATTATGGCTGAGGAACTACTAGACAGTAATAGAATTGTTTGCAGCCTCCCAAAATTGAAAACATCTTTACCAAGGCCATGTTCCATGTAGTGAGCAGTATATTCTTAACTGTTCATTGAATATTTTTTTTTTTACTGTTAGAGTTTGCAACATTTATACCACTACTCTATAACAGAAAGAATATGATTGTTGTATATGTGTGTTATTGTCCCTTTGGCCTAAAGCCAACCTTGCTGCACCTGGAAGTTCATTAGCTGGTTCGTCTAAATGCAATCAGACATAGAAAGGACTTGGACCAGAGGTGGGAGATGCAGATCCTTTAGGTGCCGCAATCATTTCCATTTCAAGTGGATTCATGGACATTAGTCTGGGCCAAATTACTGCCAATCTTTCAATAAAATGGCTTGATGATGTGGATTTATACAATGTTTCAAGTTCTAGCAACCCCTTTATGTCTTTTCTCTCAATAATCCTGGTAAACTACATGAGAATGAGCCAGGCACTTCCCTGATAAATAAATTGAAAAATGATAGACACGGAAAGACTAAATCATTTATCCAGCGTTTCCAGGGTCAGAAACTGTTGAAAGACCCTGAATGGGAGCTATGACCTGGATTCTCGTTCTAATCCCAGTGTTATCCACAAAAACCACACAACCTCTAATATCACGACCAGACTACTTTGGACTTTAATACTCCGGTGGTATGGCACGATTTCAGTGTTTATCCTTGTGTCTTGGTCAGGTCCCAAGTTTAATTACTCTCTGCCTACCTAAATTTTTTCCCCTGTTTTAGATAGGTAAGTTATTTTCCCCTTCTAAACCCTGTCTTCCAATGTTGCTGGCTCTTGAAACTGCAGCATCCCTGTTCAAAGGTAGCCACATGTCAGTGGTCAGTGTAGGAACACACTGACTTGCTGTAGAAACATTTAATGAATTAGTTTTTGCAAGATGTTTTCAATTTTCCAATAGTTTTTTTTTTCTCCTTTATTTGAGAGCCATGCTGTTATTACAATTTTTGGAGGAAAAGGCAGTAGAGAATTCACGTTTTGAATACAGATTTTTAGAGCTCCTTCTCCAGTGTGGTTTCAGGCATTTTTCCCTTTCTATAATTCAGAAATTTCAGAGAATGTAGTGTGAATCTTTAAATTTTTTATGTTAATCCACTTACTTTCCCATTGACGAACTTTATAGTTCTAGAGATTTATTAAGAATGAAGTTATCTTGGCCCTGAGATGTTAATTAAAATTATACTGAATAGAGCAAACATTTTAGGCTTATATAGTTTAGGTATTTTAATTTTAAAGATACATTCAAAATGAAATTATTTTGGCCCTGAGTTGTATAATAAAATTATACCCAATGGAGCAAACTTTAATATATTTAAAGAATTACGTTTCAGAAAAATATGAATACTAACACTAAATTCTTACATTAAATGCTGGCTGTTGGCCCTAAGCAACAGGGTAAAATAATGTAAAAACCTTGAGGGAAGTTTGCCATCTTAGGACGATAGGTATTTTTAGGTCAACTTGAATTTCCAGGTTAGAAAAGCTAAGTGGGAGAACACCTCAAGGTAGTCGTCAGTGAGAGGCTATTGAGCCCAGGTCATGAGTTTTCCATTCTTCCCTTAAAGGCAATAGAAGCTTGTCCTATGTTAGTGGTTGGTGGGATAGCTAATCAGCTTAGCAGTGTTCCGAGGAATAACAAGGAGATATGGTAGACTAATGACAACCTCGTTCTTGACCAGAGCAGGAGGCTTTTCGTCCAGGCTCTGCTGGTTGGGCCTGAACCGAAGTACTGATCACCATAGGCTAGAGATCTGAAATGTAGCTCTCCTCTGTCAGCACACAACGCTATTTGGCATGCACCTCACCCTCATGAACCTCCTCCCCCAAGCCCACACCTGTGTCAATGAATTTTGTTTCAGTGAAATACCAGAAAGGTCTCCCAAGTTAATGTGCAAACACTGGTGACACCATGAAACAGAAGCTGGTAGATGATAGTACCTGTGTCCTTAGTTGAAAGAAAGGAAATTATTAGTGGACATTGAACACATTAATTGAAAGTGGGAAGAGTTAACTGTTTAGTTAGAGTGGTGCCTCTCAATCCTTTGGAATTGTGACAAGATTATTTCTTCAAACCATTTCAATTCTTATATGGTCTAATAGGGTGCACGCCAGAAAGAAGCAAGAGTAACATATTTTAAAAATCTTTCACAAGGCCATACTACTGAAATATAACACTGGTGAATATATCAGAAAATTAAGAGTTGGAATTATGAATTTAAAAGTCAGCATATGGGGCGCCTGGGTGGCCCAGTCGTTAAGCGTCTGCCTTCGGCTCAGGTGATGATCCCTGGGTCCTGGGATCGAGCCCCGCATCGGGCTCCCTGCTCAGTGGGAAGCCTGCTTTTCCCTCTCCCACTCCCCCTGCTTGTGTTCCCTCTCTCTCACTGTGTCTCTCTCTTTCAAATAAATAAATAAAATCTTAAAAAAAAGTTTAAAAAAGTTAGCATATAATGTTAACATACTTAATTTTTAATTACTTAATTTTTCAGATAAGAACTAATCCCCAGGGTGCCTGTGTGGCTCAGTTGGTTAAGCGACTGCCTTCGGCTCAGGTCATGATCCCAGAGTCCCGGGATCGAGTCCCACATCAGGCTCCCTGCTCAGCGGAGGGTCTGCTTCTTCCTCTGACCCTACCCCCTCTTGGGCTCTCTCTCTCTCTCTCTCTCTCTCTCAAATAAATAAATAAAATCTTTAAAAAAAAAAAAAAAAAGAAGAACTAATCCCCAAAGTGGCTCAGTGACTTGTCCAAGGCTACATAACTAAATTAATCCCTATGTCTCCGTCTCCTAGACCAATGTTCTTTCCACATCTACTAAAACCATGACGAAGGAGATTAGTGATTCCTGAAAAATGACAGGGTTCATTTGTAACCTGGAGGACCATGTTCATTCTTCTTTGCCTCCTCCACCCAACCACCAAGAAAGGAAAAATGAAAAAAATGAGAAGCCAGAGGCCAGAGCTTCATCTAGGGCTTGATAAAACTTGAGCCAGGGGTACCTGGGTGACTCAGTTGGTTAAGCATTGTACTCTTGATTTCAGCTCAGGTTAGGATCTCAGGGTGGTGAGATGGAGCCCCTCGTCAGGTCTACGCTCAGTGGGTGGTCTGTTTGAGATTCTCTCCCTCTCCCTCTGCCCCACCTTACACATGCATGCTCTCTCTCTCTAAAATAAATAAATCTTTAAAAAATAACAATGAAAAAAAGCTTGAATCAAAAAGATGGGTACTCACATAAGGATCCAGAATTGTTGACACCAGTGTGATCTTTTCAGAAATATTGATTCTTACCATGAAGGTGAAACAAAATCTCATCAGATAAGGTAACCAGGGTGTACACTTCAAAACTATCTATTACAATTACACTCATAAATAAATAAATAAGAATGAAAATTTATATGTAGCCCAAAACAGTATTTGATTTTTTAAATTTATTCTGTATAAATTGAAATAACAGAAGTTTCTCAAAATACAGTTACCCCGAAGACATCAAATTATGTTATAGATGTTAACATTCTAAACTTCAAATTGCTTATTAATAGTTATGTGTATAAACTACTCCTCATACACTCGTAAACGTTTTTTAAATCACCTAAACAAAACACCAGTTTTGCCACATCGTTCACCACTGGCTTCTCTATACATAATTTTATTACCCATCATGAAAAAAAGGAAGACATTTCCGGGACTACTAATGTTCAGATAATGTGGAAGGGTTTCTGGAATTGTGCGGGTAGCAGTGTCAGCCCACAGAATATCACTGCCAGAGGCTAAATGCTATCACAGCTGCGGCAAACACTAAAACCTGTCAGCAATCACATACTTTTTTCTACCCAAACTATACCACAAAGTGGCATAATTCCAAGAGTTATAATGTCTGATGAATATTCTTAATTATGAGAATTGTTCTAATTGTGAGATTATTTGTGTTGTGATTTCACAACAGAAGCTTTCTGAGATCCCATTTAGAATGTATTACACAGGAGACAAAAACATCATTGCAAAGGGTTGGGGGGGACACACAACACCGCACTAACTGAGACCAGAGCAGTTATTCTGATTCGGTGCTTATTGGTAAAGTCTGTCTGAAAATACAGATAAATTATCCTATCTTCCAACACAAGGCTATGTGAAAAATGGCTGTCCAAATACCACTTCCTGTTCATAGCAGCCATGCTATACATCGGGAATGTGCAGAGAAATATGATAAAGTGTTATCACATCACTACAGGCTGAAACACGGCTCTGTCTGCAAAACAGGAAGGTGTGTGAGGGATAATGTCTGTCTTCAGGCACTATAGTATGTCAAAACCACAAAGACAATGTGCAGCAAAAGATAGCTCCATCATAACCACTTTTTTATGATTGTCTTCACAGACCGAGATAAACGAAAAGCTGCAAATACAGGAAGAGGCCTTTAATGCACGAATAGAAAAATTGAAAAAAGCCTGAGGACTCAGTACAAGGAGAGTCATGCTAAACTTCACAGAAACAAACACAACCAGCCAGAATAGTAGACTCTCCAGAGCAGCATATCTCCTTCATTTCATTGGGAGAGGAAAACCAAGCCTTACATTTTATTATCCTAACTAATTAGAAAAGTACTGGCCCCCCTTTTGCTATCTCCTGTCCCGTAACAGCCTCCGAATTTATGGCACTAAGTGTAATAAGAACATTTTGTATACAAGAGTTTGGAGAATTATATATAAAAATACAATTACTTTTACGATACTCCTTTGACATTTTGACTAATAAATGCTATTCATCTTCAGGGAGAGTGAAGTCAACTTTTTTAAATAAGGAAAAATAATAATAATTTTATCCATATTGACCCAGTGAGTTGCCACATTACTGGAGCCCTGTGAACAGATACCACACTGCCAAGGATAAAACTTGCTAACAATAGCAATTAAAATGCATATACTATGGTTCCCCCCAACCTTAAATCACTTGGTTTTCTTATTTAAATGTTTCAGTGTGAAACTAATTTTCTGAAATTATATAATGCAGTTTGAAGCACTTTAATTTATTCTGTACTGTATTTGTTATTTCTAATCTTGTTACTCTCCCAGGAGAATACATGACCTATATAAAAAGAAGCAATGTATAAATGGTTATTAAAGACCAACCTATATATAGATTGTAAAAATCTTAAATACCAATCAAACTCACAGAGCTCTTAAAATTAACCATTATATTGCAGTAGAATGATTGAAAACATCTCAAGCCTTTAAATACCTTTATTAAAATATGATTTTAGAAGAAAAATATCTATTTGCCAACTGATTGTTTCAGGTTAGATAAATTAAATTAATTACTAGCTAGGTCCTTTCCAAATTTCTTAACTTCAGAGTATTTGAGAATGGAGAGCATTACTAGGAAGGGGAGAGTTCCTTCCAGAAGTTTCCAGTTTAGGGGTGCCTTAGTGGCTCAGTTGGTTAAGCGTCTGCCTTCGGCTCAGGTCATGATCTCAGGGCCCTGAGATCAAGTCTCACATCAGGCTCCATTCTTAGACTGCTTCTCCCTCACCTTCTGCCTGCCGTTCCCCTTGCTTGTACTCTCTCTCTCTCTATCTCTCTGATAAATGAATAAATAAAATATTTTTCTTTTCAATTTGAGTTGATAAAAGAATATACATACTCAGTTAAAGACAACAACAACAAAGTGTAGACAATGAAAAATAAATTTCACCAAAGCTGGGTACCCCCATTTCTCTCCCCATGAGGCAACCATGGCTTCCAGTAAATTCTTTTTTTTTAAGACTTTATTTATTTATTTGACAGAGAGAGAAAGAGAGCACAAGCAGGGGGAGCTTCAGAGGGAGAGGGAGAAGCAGACTCCCCACTGAGCAAGGAGCCCGATGTGGGGCTCGATCCCAGGACCCTAGGATCATGTCCTGAGCCAAAGGCAGCCATTCAACTGAGTGAGTCAGCCAGGCACCCCCCAGTAAATTCTTGGAGAAGTATTTTTTATCCATTTAAATAATTGGATGCTTGTATAGAGTGATTTTTTTTAAAAAAAAAAAAAGATCTTTACATTGCTCCTTTCATCAAATATTTTGGAGATAATTCCCTATCAGTGCATTTTAATGACCATACAGTATTTCATTTTATCAATTCCATAACTTTTTTAACTAGTCTTATTGATGAACTTTTTATTGCTTCCAGTAATTTACTATCACAATGCTACATTGCCATTTTTATGAACATGTATGATTATACCTGTAGGATGAATTCCTAGGAAGGGAAATTTCTAGGTCAAATTTAGTGCCTTTCAAAGATATTTCACCAACAGTGAAATGAGAATGCCTATGTCTCTCTACATTGTTACCAACAACAAGCATTGGCCAACTTTTTATCTTTGGTATTCTGATAAGTAGAACATAATGTCACGCTGTTGTGTTAATTTGCTTTTATCTTCTTACTCCATACAGATTGAGCAACGTTCATATGTTTATAAACAAATGCGTGTGTGTGTGTGTGTGTGTGTGTGTGTGTGTGTGGTTAATCCTCCTAATAACCCTAAGGCAGAGAAAGAAGGTATTATTAGCCTCATGTATGATAGTACCTGTTAGGGAGCCTGAAGCTTAGGGAAATTATTAACTTGAACCAAGTTGCACAATTAGTAATTGATGGATCAGGGCTTTAAACCCAGGTCTGACCTATTTTATAGATGAGGAAACTGGAACACAGAAAAATTTTAGGTACTTTTCCCATGATCGCACAGCCAGTAAGTGGTAGAAACAGGTTTTGAACTTAGGTCTCTATGATCGTAAAACCCACATTCTTCACCTTTATCTTCATTGAGCTATCTCATTGTCAATATGAAACAAAGTGAAAACTGGCCTTTCTTTTTTGTTATTAGTTATAATAAAGGAACACACTATTGTTAGCATATTAAGTATTTAGAAAAGTTATGCAAGAAAGGAAAGTATAACTCAGCTCCTTTCATTCATTCATTTATTCATTATCCAGTATGTAGCATTGAGTACCTACTATGTACCAGGGCATTGAGTAGGGAGCCAAACAGACATGGTCTCTGCCCTAATAATCTAGTAGGGGAAATAGTTAATACTAACTGTGATAAGGACAAGCTTTGGGGAATTATGAGAATATTGAACAAAGGAGTCTGGGAGGTCACAACATGTCCCACTGGTTTTGACATTTGGGCTAGGAACTGAGGGGTACCTAGAATTAACTAGACAGAAGAAGGTGAAGGAAGAGGAAATTCAGACAGTGCAAAGTCCCTGGGACACAAGGAGAGGCTGAACAATTTAGACACAGTCAGAGCTCTCGCAGGGTCCCATAGACCACATTACAGAATTTCATTTTCAAGCTAATAGCAATGGAAAATTGTTGATAATTTTAAAGAGCAATTGACATCAGATTCGTATTTTTTAAAATGTCATTTCCCTGGTGCTAGGACTTTTATCCATGGAGACAAGGAAAATAGTATTTTCATAAAAGAATTCCTACTTCTAATGATGCTAAGCTCTACTTAGCAATTCCTACGAGTGAGGGAAATAAAGAAAAATTTTGACTTTTTGAAGTCATAGGGTTCACCTACTCGAAGCAGTCTTTGACACAGAGGCAGCCTTCTGAAGAACCAATTAAAAACCAATACCAACCTATTAGACAAGCAGCACTCTTTCTCTTAGCATCCACAGTAAGATATCTTTCTTCCATCTGCAGGAATAATTTGGGGCACTTTTTTTCCTCACCTCCATGATAAGTTTCAAAGGGAAAATATATTCATTATGTTATGAACAAGCCACAGACTGCCACAATTTCAGGTATTTGTAGGCACTGTTGCGCCTAAATATAGCTGTGGAGTCATTTTTCCAAAATCCGAATATAAAGCCCCTATTTCTATCCTCCATTTGATTGGAACCATTCAACCATCCTGGTAGATAATAAGTTTGCATGTTCTTAGATTGCATTTCATTATGCTTCAGTTCCCCTAGAGAATAAACGTGCTCCTTTTCCCAACAATTGTAGAGGAGAAATACTTCTGACATCTCAAATTTCAGAGAGCCTCAGGAAGACGTCCCTCTTCTGGACATCAAAGTCTTTTTTTTTTTTTTCCTGGACATTGATTTGTTAAATAAGAGAAGTCAGTACTCCTTCGTGGCAGCCAAAATACCTATTAATTTAAGTTTCCCAAGCAAAAAGTAATCTAAGTCAAAATAATACCATCTTGTTGGAATTCAAATTCCAAAACAAAGAAAGAATACTAAAAATCTCTTTTGTTTTTAGGATCCCTCCTTTTTTCATGGAAGTACCAGCAGTGGAGATTGGCTTATCTTTCCTCTTAGTTAGAGTCACCAAAGAGTTTTGTGTTATTTTACTTAATTTTTAGCTTCAGAGAATGTTCAGTGCAGATGTCTCCAAGGGTCATTTGATGTTTGTTTGTTCTTTTGAATATATTCAGGGCACTTTCTAGCTAAGACAAAGAAAATAAGACAGATAAGGTCCTTGACTTGCTGGAGTTCATGGAATTGATAAAGTTTATAATCTAGAAGCAGATAATAAACAAGGGAAGAAATAAAAGTATCTTAGATAACAATAAATCATGCTAATAATTAATACAAAGCCATGGGATAGAAGGTTGCGGGGTGTGGGAGAGCTACTTTTACCTGCGGTGCTCTGAGAACCCTGCTTGGAAGGGGTGGCTTTTGAGCTGAGACAAGGGTAGGAGAAACCAGCCATGGGCCACACCAGGGAACATCTGTTCCAGGCAGTGAGGGTAGCAAGTAAAGTGACTTGCCAAGTAGAACCTCCGAGCACACAAAGCAGCTCTCAGGGAAGACAGGTATACCCATGTCTCACTTCTGGGAGGTACCTGGCTGCTCTGCAACCTCAGACCCTCATATTCCGAATCTAGTACCTTTTCCACTCTGTCACGTTGCCATGGTCGTATTGCCTTATCTAAAAAAAAATATACGTAATTATAACCACAAAATACTTATTGGGATAGCCCAAAACCCAAATAAGCCCATCTACTTAAAAGAAATCTTGGTCCAAATCTCTCTTGCAAAAGAATTTCAAACAAATTATGTAGATACTCTACTCCAAAAGGCAAGGAGCATAACTGCCATCATTATGTGTGGGCTATGCATAATGACTTCTTTCTAAGAATACAGTATGTAGAGAGTACCTTACAGTTAAGAGACCTGACAAATGCTACTTCCTCCATATAATCAATATCAACATCAATAGTCAAAAATCATGTCGATGGCATATACACTTGATATGAGTTGATGAAAATACTACTTTCCTCCCAAAAACCCATAACCCTGGACTAATCATGAGAAAAACATCAGGCAATTTCCAGTAGAAGAGCCTACAACATACCGGATCAGTAGTACTCAAAACCGTCAAGGTCAGGGTTGCCTGCTCAGTCAGTTAAGCGTCTGCCTTTGGCTCAGGTCATGATCCTGGAGTCCTGGGATTGAGCCCCAGATAGCATCAGGCTCCCTGCTCAGCAGGGAGTCTGTTTTCCTTCTCCCTCTGCCCCTCCCCCTCCATTCCTGCTCTGACTCTTGCTTTTTCTCTCAAATAAATAAATAAAATCTTTAAAAAAAAACCATTGAGGTCATCAAAAACAAGGAAAGTGTGAGAAAATGTCATAGCCAGAGGGAACTTAAGGACACATGACAACTAATAAAATGTGGAATCCTGGATGTGATTCTGAAACAGAAAAAGGGTATCTAAAGAAATACAAATATGAACTTTACTTAATAAAAATATATCAATATTGGTTCATTAATTG